TCAACACATTCTCCTTTTCTTATTCAATTGGATGATTGCCACAATACAAGAAAAAAAAATTTATATAAAAATTATTTTAGTTGTTTTCCTTCCTTCACGAAAACTTTTCTACTGCTTGGAACATTCCTTTTGTAGTGGTCCATTATTTTCTCTATGCAACAAACTTCAAAATGTTAAATTTGCTCGAAAGGTATCTAAATGCTATTTATTTTCTTACATATCAAATTTGGTCTCTAATCTCAATGCCTAGTTAAACTCCATTTATAATAGTTTGGAAAGTAGCCCTCTCAATAATGATCTTCTTCAACAAACCCTTCACAACCAATCCTCATCCATTGACGCCTCTAAAATTAAAATTGAGTGGATCAAGCAAAGAGCTAAATATTCATGGATAATCTAAGAGGAAGATGACCTCAAACTTCTCTACCAAATAATCAAATGCATAAACAATCATAATTTTGTTAAAGAAACCAATTCCCGTCAAAGAACGCTTTGCAATGATGATGAAATTTCTAATGAGGCTACCTCATATTTCTCTAAAATGTTTAATAAAGATCCATCATCTCTTAAACTTGATTTTGAATATTTCCCAATCAGCCCCATGATTGCTATTGAAAATCAAATCAATCTCTGATGACAAGGGGAAAAAATGGAATTTTTGATATTGGGAATAATAAAACATCATACCCCTGATGGTTTCACCTCCAAAATTTTCAAAGATACCTACAATATCATGGGCAACATTTAAATAAAAAATTAAATAAAATCTTGAGGGGTTACAATAACTCTAATATGTACAAAATTTAAATAAAAAATTAAATAAAATCTTGAGGGGTTACAATAATTCTAATATGTACAAAAACTTATATACAAAATTTAAATAAAAAATTAAATAAAAAATGATTATATGATTTTTAAGATAATTTATTCATATTCATCCATTTTTTAGTCTTTATTACAAGCATTTTTAGGCAATTACCCTCCTAAAAATTTTAAAATACTATAGTCTTTAAGTAATTACCCCATCAGGTCGAAAACCCCACCAAGGGGTGCTGCCCCCTTGGACCCCCAATATATATATCACTACGGGAAAACACGCGATTACCGTCGGATTTTCCGTCTTATGCAAGTGAATCAACAAATGATGAGTTAATAACATAAGGTAACTTAAATTTTTTTTACCTACTGCACTGCATTTTATCTAATCATGACTCCTTACAAACTCAACAAATAAGTGCCCTTCAAGCTGAGCTAGAACAAGTAAGGAAATCACAAGCTGATTGGCAAGCTCAGCTGCAGGCACAGGTTCAAGCTCAGCTGCAAGCATAGATTCAAACAAGTACGGAGCAACACAATCAGTTGTTGGATGAAATGCGCAAGATGAGGGATCAGCTGAGTGAAAAAAATGTATCTCCACCTGAGGAGGAGTCCACAGAGTCAGAGTAGTTTAATTTAGTTTACATGAACTTGTTTATTTCTGTGAACATGTGTTATTGAACAGTTTCTTTTTATGTTATAAACAGTTGTGAATTTATTATAAAATGTTGATCTGTTGAAATGTTACTATTGAAATGTTGTGGAATTGTTATTTGTATTCATTTGCAGGTGTGGAAATTTGATTGTTGGCTGGGAAGGAAATTTTTTTTTTTGTCAATGCTACAGGTTTCCGGCATATTGTACGCTGGAAATCCGCCGGAAAGAATGATACAACGAATTGTATCAGACGTATCGACGTCTTCCTTCCGTCGGCAACTATCGGCACATGTTTCGGCGCCATTTCCGCCACTTCTTTCCAGTGCCAATTTTGCGCCGCAAACAAAGCCGTGGGTTGTCTACGGCGACCTTGCGGCGTTTTGTCCGCCGGTACTTACCGGCGGACAATCCGACAGAAACTTACCGGTGCATATGGCGCCGAATTTATCGGTTGTGAGTCGTCGGTACCAATCCGATGTTTTACGCCGGTAAGGCGTCGGTAAGTGCGCCGGAAAGTTTTCCGGCGCATTATATTCGTCGGAAAAAATTTATCGACTCGACCGAAACCGGCGTATGCATTTCCGCCGAAACGTGCGCCGGTAACTTATGGTTCCGTCGGATTATCTATGTGTTCCGGCGAATTTAATCCGCCGGTAATAATGGGTTTTCCTGTAGTGTATGCCTTATAAGTTTTGCCCTCCCTGAAAATTTCGACTGGTTCCGCCCCTGTATAGAAGTATGAGCCACTTTTTTGTAGTCTTATTTTGCTCACCCAATCTGTTTTTATCTTGCTCCTCACTATATATCTTTTTCTTCTAATTTAATATTGGGGTGGCCATTTTTTTGCATGGCTAGGTTACTTGTTATTCACTACGTTCTCTTGTAAGTGATTCACATTCTACAATTGTAACCTCATTTATGTTAACTAAAAAGTTCAAGTTAACATTGAAAATCATGAAAAAGAGAATTATTCTGTGCGGTCATCGGATGTCGTCAGGAGGCGAATCAGGACGCCACATCACTTTTTTGATGTGTACTGGTGCTGTGTATCGGGTGATAGCACATTCTGATTCGCCTTCGAACTATCCAATGACCACATAGAATATTTTTTTCATAAAAAGACAATAATTTTCCCATGAAAATACATACAAATGGTACTGATGGAAAAGACATGCCTTTGACCTCTTCACCTCAACTAACTCAAACACACAAGAACAGCTCTAAATTATTACGTGAAAGAGTATATTATAAGAAAAAATAATAATAATAATATCAAGCATTTAATGCAAAAGACAAAGCCAATGAATACATGCAAGATTTCTGACATTTTCAGGTGCAAATACATCTTAATTTTAATAAATCATGAAAAATTATTATGTACAGATACTGGACATTATCCGGAGGCGAATCAGATCACACATGTTACAATGTTACAATATGATATCCGTACAGAATAATTTCTCATAAATCAGATGATACTTCTCTGATTCTAACCATGTGAGTATGGCAAGTGGTTCATTTATTTTTGGAATGCTGCATTTGTGTCTCATGCAATGGTCGAGGCTGAGTAATGACAGATTTGAATCAGGCGTCAGTTCATATAAGAACACAAAGTCCTATGGTCTTATTCAACGGTCAGTAAATAATTTTGATGATGAAAATGTTAGACATTTTATGATGCAAGAAATATAATCAAGATTAAGGTGAGACAAATAACTATGCAAGAGGACAATAAAATTTTTTATTTGATATGACAAAACTATATGTAAGGCTTATTAATGAAGATAATCATGATAGATAATTCTATACAGCAAAAATAACAAGAAGTTTTTATTTCACTATATAGGTTTGGCTTCATAATTTTTTTTTCTTTCTCTATTGTTTTATATTAAGAGTCAAATTCTTAAATTATAGAGAATTTTGTAGCGCCAAAAAAATTCAATAATAAATCAGAGACTATATTCTTCCATATAATTAAAAACTGAAGTATGTGTCTTTTTTTGTTCACTCTTATTGAATATCTACAACACCACTTGAAAACTGAGCCGTAGTCAGAGTTGTAAGATCCGTGCATATACAATAATAGTTATACAGCTCGCTTGAATTTATTGGTTGGGAGCTTTGCCTGCAAACTAAGATATATTGGGTTCAAATCTTACATATGTGATGTTTAGAGGTCTAAATGAGTCGAGTCAAGTCGAATATTTGTCTAATCAAGCTGAGCTTGTTTAGTTCTTATTTAAAAAATTTATAAGCTCAGGCTCATTTGAAAAGCTCGATCTTGACTTGATTGTTGAGCTCAAATTTATTAATTTTAAATTAAAATATTCAAATTTGTTAGTTTATTTTTAATATAGAATTATTTTAAAATATTAAAATATATTATATAATTATAAATTAATTAATTTTTAAATATATTTTAAGTTAATCGAGAAGCTTAATGAGCTTTCGAATTGAGTCAAGCTATGCTCGAGCTCGAACTCATTTAAGATTCGATCGAGCATGAGTATAAACCCGAGCTCAAATTTGTGGCTTTATAAGCTCCAGTTGTGAGCTAATTAATAACTCGAGCTAGAACCGGCTCTGCTCACTCACACTATTAATGATTTGCTGAATTTACCTTTAATAAGCTCAAAATTCCCCCAAAAAAAGTACTTTTTATATAAAAAATATAATATTTTAGTTATTTAGAATATGTTTTCAAAGACAACTCTGGTAAACACTACAAGATCAGGGGTGCAAAGCTGTACAGAGAGCATGTCTTACATGCATGTGATCATATCAATGGTGAGCATGTTTTCCAACCAAGAAGTCTTGATTATGCTCGGACATGTGATGTGTGTATGAGTTTTGGACTAAAAGTCCAAAAAAAAAAAAAAAAAAAGTTATATAATGCTAACATATATGCTTGAATTTTTATACAAGTATATTTTCAATAGAATTTGTTGTTAAATCATGATATTACTAAAATAATGCACAGTTTATATGCAATATTTTTTATAATAAATTATATCAATAACAAATTGATATTTAGCCTTTTCATAACATGTTTATATACACACATTTAGATAGAAAGAGGGAGATTAAATAAATATATGAGATATATATGCCTAATTTAGACGAAATCATTAATAATAGGCCCTTCTTCTGTTAGCACGTCATTACCTATTTAGTTTGATGCGGGCTCTAATGATGATTGAGACCCTCCAATAGAACACCACCACATCTTCCAATCACTGCACAGAATCTTATTCAAGGGAGAGATTATTACGTGCGGAGTCCGGACCTAGAAAATTATTCGGTTTTGTAACTGTGAACAGTAAAAGCATAGTAAAAGCGCAATGGTGAACAGTAACTGCACTTTTACTGTTCATAGTCACACGACCGAACAGCTCTCCGAGTACGGACTCCGCACGTAATAATCTCTCCATTCAAGGAAGCTAGCAAGAGCCCCTACAATTGATTTATTAGACCCACACATTGCTCTCCTCAGTCTTCATAAATAGACAGCTTGGACAAGACAGTTATACCAAACAATATCAAATTACATCAATGCCTCTGATTAAACACTCACCATTATTGTTCTTGATTATCAAAAGCTCCCGAATAAGAATAAAGGGAGATGGAAGAAGAGACCTCTGAAGATATGCTACGTTCATGTATATATACATATATATGCTACTGTGTGCTCAGAGTCAAAAAAGGGATTGACTCACTCGGACGATACAAACTTGTGAATCTGAAATCAACAAAGCTTAGAAACAAATTAAGGAAAGAAACTTGAAAGCAGATTCACCTTTGTTCTTCACAAAAAGGGAAGAGGAAAGCGTATCTTTCTGTAAAGATGCATGGTCATAATCGCCATCATGCATAAACTTGTACTTGGATGCTGACTGAAGAATCTATAACGTGAACTTTGTTCAAAAGGATAATCAAACACCCTGCAGAAAAAGTATCATGATGTGAAACTACTAGGAGTTACGATCGAAATTAAATAGAGAATTGTTAAAGTTTGCTTTTATAAGTTTATGTGGATCATGCAAGATAGATTAAAGAATTAGAAACGTGAACTTTGCTTAGGCCAAAGAGATGCACTTGAGATTAACCAAAATAGTTCATTCAAAATCCAAGAGAATTAAATGCGAAGTACAAACACAAAACCCAACGTTTAACAACGAGAATTTCACCTTGGGGCGTATCACTCAAGAGGTGGTGGACTTTTGGCGGAGATAGAAGATCCAAGAGATGAACGAAGTTACCACTAGGGAGAGGGCGCCGAAGAACTTCGTCGGAGGAAAAGTTGCCGGTTGGGATGGAAGTCGTAGACGACCGTCGAGGCTCCAAGCGTGCTTTTTAAACTTTCGGTCGTAGATGCTTGCGAGGATTGGCACGACTCGCTCCAAGTACTCTTCTACGGTTGTCTCGTCTTCAAATCCTACGTCAAAACAAGGTGAACGTAGAATGTTGATGCTCCCGTCGGCGTTGAACACAAGACCCCACTCAAACTCCGGATCCGCCATTCAACATCGAGATGGAGGGGAAGTGACGCCTTCTTCTGTCGTGGCCTTCTCAATTCACATGAGAAGGGGGATGGGGGGCGGCGGGACGGGTGGGGAAGTAGGGGCTGATTTTGATGATTTGGGAGGAAGGTTTTGATCCAAATGTGATGTTGAATTTGGATCGTGGTGGGGCAATGGATGGTGGTTGGGGAGGGGTTGCCGGCGGCCAAGGCTTGATTAGGGCCGGCGGTTGTGAAGGAGGAAGGATAGGAATGAAGGGGATAGACCACGAGCCACGGACTCTTCCAATGACTGGTGGGTGTTGCTTTTCGCCCTCACCTTGGGCTCTCGCTCTCCTCTCTAACTCTCCACAAGAAGAAAAAGAAGAAGACAAGACAATCAAAACAAATTTTCATTCATAATATTCATTAAGCTCAAAATGATACAAGAGACCACTATATATAGGTCTTGACTCATAAAAGTGAAAAAGACTAAATTGCCCTCTGGGCTACAAAGAAACATAACTCCCCACAGGGGTAAAATGGGAAACAGTAAATCAAAATAGACAATAATAAAATACATCATGTCATCTCAATCAAAAGTAGAGGCGCTGAATCGTGGCCGTCGATCTGCGGTTTCGCCGGCGATAAACATGTCGGTAGCGTCTGTCGATGTCCTCATCATATCATGGAGATAAACTCTGGCAGCCAAGAAAATCAGTATAGAATTTGGATGGAAGATATGATAAACAGGGATAAAGATTCAAGATATTAATTGATTTGTTATATTTCATATTACCTCTGCTCATGAGCATATTTAGGCTTCATTTGGGACGGCTTTCTTCCAGCTTCTTAAAATAGCTTTTTAATTTTTTACTAAAAAGTTGCTTTAAGAAGCAGTAAAAAAACCGTCCCAAACGAAGCCTTAGGCTCCACAAAACTGCACTAAGTGGTGGTTTCTGATCTACGATGCTTCTACACTAACCAGTGACATAATCATATGAAGTACTAAGGAAAGTGTAAACATATCAAACTCAGAACACAAAAATGAGGGGTTCAGAGAGAAATTTCTGAAACTAAATGGAATTGAAGCCACCAAAAGTTATGACAAATGACACAAACCAAAAGGAAAGAAATGGTTTGAAGGATGTTGAAATAAATAACTCCAATGTAGAATATCTAGTGATGAGTTCCTTCTCACGCATCATAAATGCAACCATTAGCCAAGTTTTTCCACTCAGCCTTGTTTAGCTTTGTGACAGTGGGTGGCACCGAAGGCTCCATTCAGCATTTCATTCTGATACATGTTTTAGTTTTCTAGGATGGGGAAAAAAATTGTTAAGATATTCGGAAAATAAAAAATAAACCTGCAGAAGTGGGAGATAAATGTTGCATTTCCAAAAGAAACCAGATGTTTTTCAATAAATCCCATCATGGAAGAAAACAATTGCCGCCATAAAATATGCAGGAGATACTGATAACGATGTAGGCTACATGTTGCTGATAGGGATTTCCAATTTGCTGTAGGATTACAGTACTACAACAATTGAAGAAAATGTTGTCCTAAGTAACTTAAAGAGATTCAACTTTCTTCTTTGGCAACACCATTGAATCGCTATTGAGACCTTTGTCATATAACCTGCCAATGTTTAACCCCTGATGCAAACGCAAAGTCTACAGCTTTGAGTCTATGGCCATAAAAAATGTAAAATGTTTATGTAATGACGAAAAATGAACACTTGCAAATAAAATGTCTCAAAGAATATATTATATAATTGATTACAGTTATAAATCCATTACAATGGCGACAAATACAAGCTATTATTTGTACTGTACAGTCTAATAAAAAAAAAAAAATAGACCCTTATATTGGCACAACGTAAACTTGACACTTAGAAATAACCTACTCAATCATCACCAACCTTTAATCAACACTATGGTGTTAAATGCATGTATTATCTAACACAATCTTGAAACTTTGGCATATTGCTATTCTCAAAGCAAGTGATAGGATCAACATCATACCCTTACTTTTCATAATTACCGATTTTTGTATGGCTAATACAAAATTCAACGTAGCTGATATGTTGATCCAGTAAATAGAAGATCACACCTCAATTAGGAGTTCTAAAGCCCATGGAAAGCAAAATCTACCACTGGGATATATCATAAGCATATATTCTAGAAATCAAATACAACCTCATCTATCCAGCAAGGCCAAATAAACTTCTCTCCTACTTATAAACCACTCATTTCACCGCATCTATAGTGAGAGGTGTAGGTAGGCACACGCTAGAGCTGATCAGATGAAAGAAGTTAGTGGAGAACCTATAGCCCAACCCCCTCATCAAGTACATCACTATCCTCAAGATGAGTGTAGTGACCATTTTGTCCCATTAGAGCTTAAAATTGATACACATATCCAACAAGAGACCCGGCAACTAGATCACCTGTAGCAACAGCGCTCGAACGATCATACATGGCTTCAAGAGCATCCCTCCTCCACCACCACTATCTAATCAGAGACTGTCTGATTACTGAGTGTTTCTTTTTTTTTTCCAAACAGTTTTTATTTTTATTTTTTCTCTCTTCTTTTTGAAATTTCAAAATAGAGAGAAGTGTTTGGTTGAATTTTGTACTTGTTTTGTTATTAAAAAAAATATTAAAATTTAAGTTTTAGTGTGTCAGATTTGTTTTTGTTAGTCCATTAACACACACACACACACACATATATATATATATATATATTAAAATTTTAGGATTAATTATTTTTCTCCTATTAAAAAATATTGGAAGCTTAGAGCCTTAGAGTCAGGAGGATAAATAGATAATGGGTAAATTAATTAAATGCTAAAAATAAATTTTAACTAAAATGTTTGTAATCATAAAAAAAGAAAGATTTTTAAACCTCATGAACCTAGTATGCAATAGGGTTTTTATGATCATGAACAATGCTGGTTAAGCTAATCCACATTTCAATCTAGCATTTAAGTTATTTCCTTTATACATACATTTTAGATGAAAGACATGAGGCAAAATAGTATTCAAAAAGAGCAAAGAAGAATAAATGGAGCTCAAAAGTACACAAGAAAATATTGTCTAAGGCTTTAGTGTGTGTGCCATTTTTATTTTCTTTTTTTATCAAATTTATAAGTGTAAAATGATTAAACAACCAAGCACACACTCACAAGTGAGAATTAAAATAATATGAATTAAAAATTAATTAAGATCACTTGATTTTTTTTTTTTTTTTTTTTTGAGAAATCATACTGCACAATCATTTATGATATAAAAATAAATCAAGTGATATTAATTAAACAAAAAATAAATAATTAAAAGATAATAAATTGTTCTATACAATTTACACATATTGGACGATCAATTATTTCAAATAAAGCCCTCCCATTATTTTGAATTTTCATAAATAGGTAAATTTGAATTTGAACCAATTGTATTGTACAAAACCTATTCATACTATATGAATATTTAAAATTTTTGCCTATTTTGAATCCACAAATTCGGGAATCAAATCAGGATCAAATCAAGTTAAATATTCCTAAAGTACAATACATATCATATATATCGTATAGTACTAACAAACAGAGAGCTTGTTCGTATGATTCTCATTCAAACAGGACGATCTATTGATCACTTGAACTGATCGTACAGTCCAATTAAACAGAGAAGGAATTTTATGTTTTAGTCAAATTGAACTGATCGTACTGTACGACCTAGTCAACAAAAATTAAAAAAATTAAAATCCTTATGTAAATACAATATTTAGGATTTAAAAAAAAAATTGGGGAGTTGGTTCATGAAGTTGCTACAGAGATTTTCAGAGAGTCCTTTTAAGAGAGAGTGAGTCTTTCTTACGAGAGCTTCTATAAACACTTGAGAGGTGAGGAAGAGACTGATAGAACGTTCCTAGGGGGAACTCCAAGGAATTGTGTGAGGTGATTCACAAGGTTATTTCTATGTTCTATGCCTTATTCCTCCTAGTTGTTTGCGTGAAGAGCTTTTGAAAAGAAGTTCTAAGAAGTCTTTGTTAAAAGGCTTGAGTCTAGTCGAGGAAGCTAGGGAGAAGGCATCTTCGCAAGTAGGAGGGAATTTGAAGCTTTTTGGGGAAGATAAGCGGCGTACAAGTTTTTCTCCACCTGTAAAAGGAGAAGAGCTTCTCCGCCTTGTTGGGTGCAAAAAAAAGTGATTCAGTGGAATTCCCAGGGAGGAGAACCTTAGAGGGTGGACATAGGTCAAGAGACTGAACCACTAAATTTGGTTTAAGTTCTTTTCTACTTTTCCATAATTTCATTTCTTGCATACTTTTGCTATTTGTCGAGTTCTATTTTTTGAATTGTGGTGCTTTAATTTAAAAACAAGAAAAATATTTTCAAGTATTAGAATTCAATTTTTGCATTAAAAAAAATTTGTTTGTACTACTCTTGCTCTTGAAGTAGTTTTGAAAATAGAATATATATATTTGCTCACGATAAAAAAAGACTTCCATTATTATTGTTATTGTTAAGTTAAAAATTTTTAAATAACCAATTCCCCACCCCACCGTCGTAGCTCTTAATTGTGCCAAGTCACTTTCTGTGAAACTCCTTAAGTAAAATAAAGCTAAACTCTTAAATATCAATGCATTTTTTAATGTAATAGTTGGAATTTCATTTAAGAAACTCTGTTATTAAGCGTGCTCATCCTAGAACAATTCTGGCATGGGTGACCTACTGGGAACTTACACAAACAGGATAAAATCGTGAGGCTTTTTGGTCAAAATAAACAATCTCGATAGTTAAGAGTTTGGATTGTTACAAATGGTATCAGAATTATATACCAGTCCGAAGAAGGGAACTAAGTGTCATACAAGAAAAGGTGTTACGCTATAGGAGCCACCTCTTAAACCTTATATGGGACAAAGTGTTACATGATAGTAGTCACCACTTGAACTTATAGGGGCCACCTCTAAAATCTTATGTGTATGGTGGATGATTATGGGATAAAGTTGCTGACGATGACTTCAGTTACTTTAAGTGGGGGAGATTGTGAAACCCCTTAAGTAAAAGAAAGTTAAACTCGTAAACTTCGAGTCGCCTTATGGTGTAATAGTTGTAACTTTATTTAAGAAACTCCACAGTTAAGTGTGCACATCCTAAAGCAATTATAGAATAGGTGACCTAGACGAAAGTTACACTAACAGGACAAAACCATAAGGCTCTTAGGCCAAAGTGGACGATATCTCGATAGTTAAGAGTTTGGGCTATTACAAATGATATCAAATCAACACACCAGCCGAAAGATGGGAACTAAGTGTCATACAAGAAAAAGTGTTACGCAATGTTTAAAATTACGTATTCGGGTATTGAGACATTTTTCGTTCATGAGGCGAGGCGTAAGCCTCAAGGCGTTTTGAGGCGTAAGCCTCAAAATCAAAAAATTGCGTAAACAGAAAATGATAAATTTTGTATATAGTAATGAGTAAATAATATATAAAACATAAAAAATGCACAAGATATGAAGTGAAATCAAAATATCTCAATAATATAACAACATGAAATATATTTCAACTCAAACTCCATCTTTCTCAAATCACATTATTCTTTTCATTAACATATAAGAGTTATTTTGAGCGGTACCAAAATAAAATTTTATTGTAAGAGTTATTTTGAGCGGTACCGAGCGGTACTGGCTTGGTACTGAGCATGTACCTAGTGGTACCGATTATGTACTGCTCAGTACCGAGCATATATTGCTCAGTACCGAGCATGTATTGCTCGAGGCGCGCATATACCTGCTCGGTACGAAGCGGTACTGGCTCGGTACCGAGAATTTACCTAGTGGTACTGAGCATGTATTGCTCAGTACCGAGCATAATTTTTAGAAGCGGACGCCTCTCAACCGTGAGGCGAGGCGCGCCTCAAGGCACGCCTCAGTAAACTTGAGGCGTACGCCTCAAATCTTGAACTCATTGTGTAGGCCTTGAGGCGCGCCTCTTATTGCGCAATTTTAAACTATGGTGTTACGTTATGAGGGCCACCTCTTGAACTCTGTATGGGACAAAGTGTTACATGACATGAGTCACCCCTTGAACTTGTGGGGGACCACCTCTAAAATCTTATCTGCATGGCGGATGATTCGGAATAAAAATATTGACAATGATGTCAGTTACTTAAGTGGGGGAGATTGTGAAACCCCTTAAGTAAAAGAAAAATAAACTCTTAAACATCGAGGTGCCTTTTATTGTAATAGTTGGAAATTTTATTTAAGAAATTCTGTAATTAAATGTGATCATCCTAGAGCAATTCTAGGATAGGTGACCTACTGGAAAGTTACACTAACAAAAAAAATCATGAGGCAGTTAGGCCAACGCGGACAATATATCGATAGTTAAGAGTTTGACCTATTACAAATTGTATCAGAGCAATACACCAGTCATAAGATAGGAACTAAGTGTCATACAAGATGAAGTGCTCCGCTATGAGAGCCACCTCTTGAATCCTGTATGAAATAAAGTGTATATGATAGGAGGCACCACTTGAACCTTTAGGGACCACCTCTAGAATCTTATCTATCTGGTGGATAATTATGGGATAAAGATGTTGATGAGGGTATTGTGAAGCCCCTTAAGTAAAAGAAAGCTAAATTCTTAAACATTGAGGCGCCTTTTGATGTAATGATTGGAATTTTATTTAAAAAAAAAATTGCAGTTAAGCGTGCTCCTTCCAGAGCAATTCTAGGATGGGTGACCTATTGGGATGTTACACCAACATGATAATTATGGGATAAAGATGCTGATGAGGGTGTTAATTACTTAAGTACAGAAGATTGTGAAGCCCCTTAAGTAAAGTAAAAAAAAAAAACTAAATTCTTAAACATTAAGTCGCCTTTTGGTGTAATGTTTGGAATTTTATTTAAAAAAAAAAAATGCAGTTAAGCGTGCTCATCCTAGAGCAATTCTGGGATGGGTAACCTACCGGGATGTTACACTAACATGACAAAATCATGAGGCTCTTAGACTAAAGAGGACAATATCTCGATAGTTAAGAGTTTAAGCTATTACACTTTCAGATACCATATTCTTAGCAACAAAACTATAAGCTTGTTTGTAGTGGAAAATCAAATCGTAAATTGTAGATTGACGATAGTAACTGCAAGAAATTTTATTGGCACTTGAATTGAATCAACATAAATAAGAAATGCCCTAACATTTTTACATTAATTAATATCTCTATCTAAGAGAAGCATTTAGAGAAGTAGATCCAACTTTTTTATATAAATCATGTCTTTTACTCAAACACAAATAATACCAATAAAACTAATCTTGAGAAAGAACACAATGGTCTTAGCTTTTAGGCTCATTTAAATCCTAATCCCACCATAAATGAAGTCAAACTTCGAAAAAAATGGTGAAAAATCATAAAAATAGGAAATTATAATGAGAAGCTCATACAATGCCTCAAGAGACACAATTACAAACGCTGACAAAACATCATTTATCAAGATATGTTACATAAAAGTGATGAAAATTTTAATCACTTGAGTTTAGCGCATTAGCAATCATGTCCCCTAAATCATGGATAAACAACTCCAAGCTTCCTCAATAATTTGCATTCATGAACAAGTTATTATACACGAAAAGATGGCCAAAAATCTTCGAATATCTTTCGTAACATCTTTAGAGCAAATAGGCATCCTCATTTATTTCAAAATACTACTTACAAAGCATAATGAACAATCATTAGTATCGCAATAAACCCACAAACTCTGAAAAATAACTCATTCAGAATTGTTTAAAACACTTGTAGGAAAAATGTAAGATGCGCCATCATGTTAAGCATAATCAGTAATTTAATGCAATAAATCAAACAAAATGAAGAACACTCCTCAAAACAGTTTAAATCAACCCTAACGTACCTAATGCATATGAAGAGCCAAGGGGAATTTCTCATATAAGGCTATCTCAGAAAGTGGGCACTCTATCTCAACCCAACTGCCAGTTTCCGTCAGATTACTAGAACTACCAATGCGACCTGGAAAATGATTCTTTTTGGGCACCTGGAGATATTCCACCATTCTCTACCTTGACACCAGCTTTTGAGAACAAATACCAGTGTTCTACATGTGGTACAACCTTCTTAATTTTCTGGGACCAATACTCCAAACCTGCTTAAATAAATGCATAAAACAAAAATACAACAAAATAAAAACCATATTCCACATCAAACAATCAAATCATAACACTAGTACAAATTAAAAGCAAAGAACTTCAGCCTTAAAATATATCGTTCATAACCCAATCCTAAGCTAACAACATCTTCAAATCAAAAATATGAAGATAAATTAATTCTTGATAGAAATCCTAGAAATTGGTTCAATGCGACCTGTGTTTTCAGGTTTTACTAAAACAGTGTATATGTTTCACAAAAACGATACTTAGAATATTAACAAGGCACAACTAAAGAACATAGAAAAGGGCAAAAAGGGGCAGTTTTAGGCTATATAGAATGCGCTTGTCCTTCTAAAATAGATCGAAAAGCCATAAATACTCAAATCGAAATAAAATTCTTACAGCGCCAGAGATTTTCCGTTCCGGCAGACATTGCCAACAGCTGCAAAGTATCTAACCCTAGCACGTAGAAAGAATCCAATAACTTCTAAGCTAAGAACTCACTTACGACCAAGCCTTTGATCTTAAATCAAGAAGATGACAGGAAACCTTGATGAGATACGTTTCTGCAGAGGAAAAAGGAGGCGGCGATTAATCAGTATTTAGAAGGAACAATTATTACTTCCTCTGCAGTCAGAGCCTTGTTACTCAATGTTTGTTCGGTATTGACAGGTATTGTTTGATAATATGTAGGAATATCATTCTGAAAAGATCAATATCGAGTTATACCGAGCAATACAGAGCAATACAGAGAAATCTCGGTATTTTTTGATATAACTCGGTATTGCTCGGTATAACTCAGTATAACTCGGTATTTCATCTTCACCTAATGATATTTCTCATTATTATTGGTATTGCTCGGTATTTCTCATTTTGTGCATGCAATCTTAGTGCCGACCGGACGTAGCTCTACGTACGTTCACCGGACCAAATAAAAGTTCATTTAGAAGAGGGGAATCACCTTCGGCCTTCATCACTGGTTTCGTTTACATTCCCAGATAACACTAAAGGATTCGAACTGCCGAGTGTACTTGTGCGGAGGAGGAAACCGTTCCGAAAAGGCCCGCACCGGGCCGCCGGCCGAGCTAATTTATATAGCATATGAAAAAGTATATTGCTCCCCGAAAAAAAAATTGTATGATATAATATTTTTGTATTTAAATTAATTTAAAGTGATATATATATATAATTAATTAATTAAATACTCGATATATAAATATATAAAATTTAATATGTATGCACTAAAATAAGAAGATAATTTCACCTTAAAATAAAATTATTATAAAATTGTTAATTTTTAACAAAAATTCTGACTTTAGATGGCTCATGCATAGTATTGGTAATGGCCCAATATCCCCATTTCTTATGTTTTTGAAAAAATATGCAGTAAGGTTTGAAATGTCCTTTATATATCAAATTAAAAGTAACTCGAGCTTTCGAACAACAGAGATACCTGAATGTTTCTTTTATAACACCGTTTGTCTTTCTAAAAACTCATGTGATCGGTACATAGCAAAGTTTCACAATAATTTCTATATATCAATCATCCTTTATTCGTGATTAGGAATATTAGGGGTGTAAACGAGTTAAGTCGAATCGAGTTCGAGTCAGGCCTAACTCGAGCTCGACTTGCTATCCAATCTTGAGCTCGAATTCGAGTCGAGCTCAAAATATGAGCTAGGGCTCAACTCGTCCCACTACGAATGACTCGTCAAGCAGCTTTCGAGCCTATAAATAATTCAAGCAGCTCAAGCTCAAAAGTCAATAAGTTATTCTCGCAAATCCATAAACAAGTTGAACTTACACCTCTAAGTGATGTTATAATTTTGATTGTTTATATTTGAATGCATCTATCGCTCTTAGTTGTAGGTTATCTTAGGAATAATACTACACCAAAGTCCTATATTTAAAAAATGAATAAGGTAAGAGATCATAATAGGAGTTTTGAGATTACTAGGTCATGACCTTCGATGTTGATCGTTGTGCAAAGTTCCAAAAATTTTCAAATCTGTGAACTCTCTCAAACTCTAGTTGCCCTTCATGTGTGAAGAATGATGAGCTATTTATAATTTTTTTTTAAAGTTAATTTAATTATTTTTGTCAAAATCTCTAACAATTTATTAGATGATTCACGTTGATCCAGCCCATTTATCATAATCATTCTTAATTATGCATTTAAGTATTATCAAATTTAAGTGATATTGAGCTCATTTGATTCCTCTCAATTGACAATCTTTTTTTACTATAAAAACTGAATAATCGAACACCGTTTGGTTCATCAAATTGTGTCATATAGTTCTCAAATATACTTTTGAGTACTGATTTAAGCCCATTTCAACTTAGATCAAAGCACATTAATGTCATGAAATTTATTTCAACAAAATATTCATTTTTGTTATAAGTTTACTAAAGATAGAGTTTAAATAATCTTAAAGATAATCCTGACTTTCTACTTCACATACTTGGTTAAGATTGATGCTTTATTGGATAGATTTTGTGGTGATATATCAACTATCCTATATTTTAGAACACCTAAGTGTTCAATTCATAAAATAATTTTGATCTTAAAAATTTGTGTCATGAAATTACAATTTTAGAAAAATTATGAGTCATGAACCAATAAACTTCTTAATAATTATGTTGCGTGGTAGAAAATACGCGGCGGTAGAGTTTGTAAATTCGCGTCTGAGCGTTGTACGTAAGTTTAACACACAAACAGGAAAAAGGAATGAACACCAAGAGTTTTTACGTGGAAAACCCAAAAATGGGAAAAACCACGGGGCCTCGCCCAGTTGCAAATTTCCACTAGTATTTTCGTAGATTACAAATGGCGGATTTCTTCCCACAAGTCGGGATAATCCAAATACAACTTGTCTTTTCCACGAAATTCACAAAATCCTGCGAATTCCCTGAGTTTCCTGAAAATCCGGCAAAGTTCCGGCGTCTTCAAGCGGCAGGAAAAACTCCGGCGGTGGTGGTCGAGGAGGTGAGGAATCTCCTATTCCCCTTTCTCCTTCTCCTTCTCTTCTTCCTCTCTCTCTTCACTTGAGCCCCTTGGTGTAGAATGAGGGCTCTATTTATAGTTTTTCTGGAGTGGCACAGCCCGTAAATAGGCGTGAGATCAAGGGCGAATTGGGAGTGATCCGAATGGACGGCCGATATCGAATCCTTCGATCATGCATCGTTCGTTGGACATTTGAAGGCCTTAATGATTTCGGAATTTGATGATCTTGGGCTCGTTGGATTCGTCTCGTCGAGCCGTTCGATTCGAGTATAAGCTCGTCAAAATCGGAGACCGTTTGGTAACTCAAATTGCGGTTTGAACCTCCCAACAGAACTTCGAACCTTTGATTCGGACTCATTTGGGCTCGGATTGGGTTGATCTTGGTGACGTTGGGTTTGTATTTCCGAGACGCTCAGTTTGACTGTTAGCTCGCTGAAATCGGAGTTCATATGCTCCCGAAAATTAATTTTTGAAGTTTCCAACTAGGTTTTGCCTCGAGATTCGTGCCCGATCAAGATGATTTTGCGATGCCGTATCAAATTATAATTTCCCTCCTCCCTAAAGTTGACATTTTATTCGGTGCAAAAATTTATGGCTTCAACCTCTCCATAAAATATTTAAACTATTCAAATAAGTCATGTTAGTCACCAAAAGTCATAAATTAAGTCAAAATTTTTGAAGAAGTCTCGTTATTTTTTTTAAATCCTCAAATACTCAATTTGGATGATCTATGTTGCTCTCCATAATCATAAATCATTCTTCAGGCATTTATATGTCTTAATAACCCTTGTCTCTCTTGTCACACAATTAAACCCTAAAAGGTCGTTTAGGATCACCTTTATTTTTTATTTTTATTTTATTTTATTTATATATTTACATGAATTGAAATTTATTCAGTATACTAAAAATCTACAATTTTTTTAATAAAATTTTTATATGATGATTTAATTGATGGTGTCTGTGGTCACTAGTGGACTAATCATGGTCGCCTACAAGGTAATGAGTCTAATGACAATGGTGAGATGACCGTCAATGACATGACAGCGATTGCAGAGGCTAAAGATAATAATTATTTTTAAAAATACTCAAAACATCTTAAAGTTGTTTTTAGTACTTTAAGAATAACTAAGATTTTTTTAAAAAATATTAAAAAAATTAATTCAAAGACAAACCAAATAAATAAGTATTTGTAATATAAAAAACTAAAATAATTATAAATAAATCTTAAGGATACTTCCAATAAAAAATATTATTTTTCACATGGACCGCATTACCCAATCTTTCAAATTGTTGAATATTTTGAAATGTATATTGAAATTAGATGCTTCTTATATAAAGTTTTTTTTTTTCTTTTTTCTTTTTTTTTTACTTCTTATATAAAGTTGCGTCATGAACTTCTTAGGTAATCACATTCAAATCCATATTCTCTACAATACTTTATTTAATTTATGCTTATCTTTTAATGACTAAGATTATGCACCATGAAGCATTGGCATTGCCGTTCAAGTTTCAAGGGCATCCTCTGTTTTCTCCCGTGGCGATTTGGAGGCGATTTCTAGGGTTTGTTGTGCTTCGCAAATCTGAGGCGTTCCGACTGGTTTTCTCCGGTGATTTCGTTTCCTTTTCTTAGATCCTAGTGTTTTGCTCCTTATCTCGTCTTTGGTTTGATTTTTTCTGGCTGTCTTTGTGTGGGATGATGACGGTTCCGTCATCATCACACCCAAAACCTCCTCTTATGGAAGGAAAAAACTAGATCCTTTAAAGAGGCCCTTGCTGGGGGTTCTAGCTTTGCTCCGAAACTGAGTTTTATTCAAGCTTCTTTTAAAGGTGTTCCGGCTTTGCTTTTTGAGGATACTGTTGTTGAACAACTTGCTGCACCTTTTGCTTTCACTTTAGTTGGTAAATTTATTTTAAGAAGGCCTAACCTAGATGTGATTCGGAAGTTCTTCGTGAATCTCAAACTTTCTGGTTCCTTTCATGTTGGCTTACTTGATCAAAGGCATGTTGCTATTCAACTTTCTAATGATTTAGATTCTAGTAGATTGTTTTCTCGTCGATCTTACTACATTCAAGCTTGCCAGATGAGGTTGTTGAAATGGACTCCCGACTTTGACGTTAGGGAGGAATCCCCGATAGCTCCGGTTTGGCTGTCTTTTCCTAATTTGAGACTTCATTTATTTAATCAGCAAATTCTTTTTGGTTTAGCTTCAATCTTTGGCCGACCTTTACAAACTGACCAAGCCACTGCGTCGGTCTCTAGGCCTTCCGTGGCTAGGGTAGTTGAACTTGATGTTTCTAAAAAATATCCTTCGGAAATTTGGATCGGTTCAGAGGTTAAAGGCTATTTTCAAAAAGTTGAATTGGAAAATGTACCTATTTTTTGCTCTTTTTGCAAGATGCATGGTCATGCTGTGAATGAATGTTTTAAAAAATTTCCTAATTTACGTGTTGAAAAGAAGCAGCCCAATCATTCTGATGAATTGTGTTGCATGGAGAAGGAGAAGGGAAAAATGTTGGAGAGTGCTGAAATCAAATCTTCCCCTGTTGAAAATATTCACGGGAATACTTCTGAGGTGCCTTCTGAGGTTATGGTTCAGAAATGCTTTGAACAGGAAGCAATTGTCAATAATTGTGAG